AAACCTCTCGGTCCCACCGCCCGCACAGGACGCTCAATCGCCCGCGGAACGCGACAAGGCCGAGGGGGTGGAGCCCAGAGACATCGATGGGCACCGCCCGTCGTCCCCCGCTCTGCGCATGCGCCAGCAGGCGTGCAAATGTGGGTGTGCAACAGGGGGCGTGGGTGTGCAAGGAGGTGTGTGCGTGGGTGCGGGTGTGGGTGTGCGAGGGGTGTGGGTGTGTGAGAGGGGGCGTGCGTGCAAGGGGGTGTGTGCAAGGGAGGGGTGGGCGTGCGAATGCAGGTGTGCAAGGGGTGTGCGTGTGCAAATGTGGGTGAGCAAGGGCTGTGGGTGTGCAAGGGTGTGCACGCATGGGGGTGAGTGTGCAAGGGGTGCATGGGAGTGTGTGCAAGGGGCTGTGCCGTGGGGCTGGGGGTGCGTGCACAAGGGTGGAAGGGTCTCTGAGATGGGGCAATGGGGGCGTGCAAGGCAGGGTGGGCGTGCAAGGGGCTCTGCAACGGGAGGGGGTTTGGGCGTGCGAAGGGGGTGGGTGTACAAGGGGCACGCAAGGGAGCAGCGCAGTGGGGCTGCACAGTGGGAGTGGGTGTGCAAGGGGGTGTGCAAGGGGAGGCGCAAAGCAAGCGGAGCTCTGTCTGCAAGGAGGGGGCCGTGCCAGGACCCCCCAACACACCCCCATGCCGCATCAGCACCACGGTGCCACGGGTCTGGCAGGGAGCCCTGGCATTGCTATACCTCAAGGGAAGGTGCACGGCACACACGGTGCACGGCACACATGGCCCACACGGTGTGTGGCACACACAGCACGTGGCCCACACGGCACACAGTGCACGGCACACATGGCGCACAGCACGGCAGATGGTGGCAGCCCTTTATTGACAAGGGGCTCGGGCTGGTGCCGCCCCCCAGCCCCCCCCGGCATTGCCGTGGCAGCGGCCAGTGCCGCTCAGTCCCCCAGCAGTGCGGTGACCTCCCGCAGCCGTTCCCGCACCACCCGGTCCAGCACGGCGTGGAGAGCGCGGCAGGCCTGCCCAGCCGCCTCCAGCACCGCCTCCAGCCGCTCCTGGTGCAGGCGGGCACTGAGCTGGAGGAGGGCGATCTGCCCCGACGCTGGCAGCAGTGCCAGCACCAGCCGTGGGCCCCCCACCGCCTCCTCGGGGGAGCTGAGGTCGGCCAGGGGGGTGTCCTCGGCCAGGCCAGCCGAGCAGGCGCAGACGTAGTCCCGCATGGGGATGCCGGCGTCCATTACCGCCAGCGTGGCCGCATTCACACCAGCGCAGTAGTTGCCGCCGTCAGCTTGCAGGATCTGGAGGAACGGCGGGTTTGGTGAGGCGGCGGCCGCGCCGGTGTGAAACCCACCACCACCACCACCCTCCCCTTTCCTTCGCGGGCAACGCCTCGTTCCCCCTCCCTGTCACCTGAACGTAGATGTCGATCTGTGAGCGGGGGTGCAGCTGGGTGAGGATGGCGGCCTCGAAGGTCTGCTGGAGCTGGAGCGCCAGCTCGCCCGTCTGTCGGTCGCCACGGGGCCGCCGGCGGCGTTCGCCTGTGCCGAAGGTGGCCACGCTGTACTGGCAGTTCACCAACGCCCGGTCGGGCAGCGCCTTGCTGCGGGAGCCGCGCATCTGCGAGGACAGACAGACGTAGAGACAGACGGACAGAGAGAAGCGAGGGTCCAGAGCGGCGGGGCCCGGACGGGCCCGCTGAGGCCTCACCGGCCGTCACCTCTCACCTCGTGGGGGCCGTAGACCACGGCCAGCGCTTTGGTGTTGCCTTGCTCGATGTAGGCCGAGCCGTCGGCCTGCGCGAAGACTCCCATACGGGCGCGGATCTTACGGAGCTCGGCGGGACGGCGGCCGTCCGCCCGGTACCCCTCGTCCGACAGCAGCTCCGGCGCCGCCATCTTACCCGGCCTGCTCCCCGCGCCGGACTACGACTCCCGGCGTGCTCCGCGCCGGTAGAGGCGGGTTGGACTACAACTCCCGGCGTGCCCCGCGCCGGCCAGGGGACACGCCTCCTCCGCGCCCGAGGCCACGCCCCCCGCCACCGCCAGAGGCGACGCCCCCTCTGAGGCCACGCCCCCGCGGGGCCGGTGCTCGGCGCTGCCC